CTACTATATATATAACAATAATAATAACAATGCTCTTTCTAGCACTAATTATGTACCTGGCATTGTTCCAACTGATGTATTAGCTCATTTAATTCTCAAAGCAACCACACAAGATAAGTACTGTTATTACTTATACTTCACAGATAAACTTCAGTACAGCAAGATTAAGTTACTGTGCCAGTGGTCACGCAATTATTGAATGGGGAGCAAATTTGATCCCAGCAACTGTCTCTGAAGTTATTTATTAACCTCTACATGTCAGTGCACATGCCCATTTCATCGCACAAAGAACGATTTCAGTGATTAGGTTATTAAATATAATTATTGGAGGTGCTATTTAAGGCAACTAAATTTACTACAGACTACAAATTTCAGATTTGGTAAAATGTTGACTTTTTTTCCCATTTATCCATCCATGTATTTATTCAACAAATATCAAAGCCAAAACTTTATCTTATGGTCTGTCTAGCAGACAGAAAATACATCTGTACTTCTGTATCTAGTATCTGCATTTCGTAGAGCTCAAATATTTACACATTAAAAGAATATTGAATGCCTACTATTTGCAAAACATTGCCTTTTGCAAGTTTGATTTTGTATTATCCGGCTTATTACTTTTTAATATTATTGCAGAATATACCTTTAACCTATTTAGAAAACACATAGCCACATTTAAGCCACTGTGCTAGGACACAGAGTAATGAGCAGATAGGCCACTATTTGAAATGGATTGTAGATTATGAATAGGATAAAAACCTGGTCTCGTATATTTTATAATCTGATCTAAATTAATAGAGTCAAGTTTATAAAGACTTATATATTATACCTTACATATACATGTAAGAGTTTGATTTCATTTGGATACAGAGAGCAATAATATACCACTCTGGTCTTAGGATCATGTTAAATCAGGTAGTTTTTGTGAGGTTCCAGATTTGTTTTGCCTTTATCAGAAACACAGTGTTCCGTGGGGAGCTGTAAGGCATCTCAGTGTCTCAGTAAGAGTGAGTTAGGACAGGCTTTTAACGATTGAGGTTGCATTGGGTGATTTTGGAGAGGGTTTAAGGAAGCAAGGGCTTTTCTGATTTGGGTGCTGTCGGGAAGCAGAGCAATTTGATGATTGGATGGCAAGAATTAAATGGAGGTGAAATTTTTGGTGGAAAAGAAGCATTCATGTTAACAGGGAGAGAGCTATACCTGGTCATTTTTATGGTTACATGGTGTCCTTGTTTTGTCTGTGTTCAGACATGACAGTGGTTTTGTGTTTTTTTGTTTCTTTAAGATAATGAAGTGACCTCATGTGATGTTATTTTCTATGGAATTATTTATACTCAATAGGGGATATGGCAACTTAGGTGCTAATTGCCAGCTAGGCCACCAACTGTCAGGGCTGTTTTTTGTTTGTCTGTTTTGCTTTGTTTTGTGCCTTTTTCCTCTCAAGAAAAAAATTATTACTAATAAAGATGTGACACCACAAAAGAGTGTGGTTTGTTCCAGTATGATGAGAAGGAAGGGTACATGTAGGCACATGAAAGAAGTTGAAGCGAAGAGTAAAAAGATCAAATTGTGTAGTTTATCCCAGAGTCCTAGAAAGATTGTTACCAAAGCTAATATTCTCAGATTTGAATTTCAGAAAGGTTATCATGATAGCAGAATCGTGATTTATCAGAGGAAAGACAGACAGGCAAGGACAGTAATTTGAGTGATCGTTATTTCGGAATAATAATGAGGATCTCTACTACGGCGGTGATGTTGAGGATAAAGAGCATGGGATTTATTGGGGAGATATTTAGATGTTAAAATTGATAAGCCCTGATTACTGCTAGAAGTAGAAGGGGTAAAGGAGAGGGAAAAAGTTAAGATTGGCTGCTTATGCTTGGCTCGTGTGGTTGAATAGATGGTTGTTACTCTCTAATAAAACAGAGAATTCAGGAGGAGGAGAAGCTTTGAGGAAAATAATAAGTTCACTTTTGAACATATTAAATTATACATGAAACACTTAAGACAAAATATCCTCCAGAAATCAGTTGGATATACACATCGGTCCTTGATTTGGAAGTACTGGCTTACAAATTACTAAACAGGAAAGGACCCAACTGGTTCTCTTAATGGAATAGGGTGATAATCCTCCAAAGCTGGCAGTGAAAGTTGGTCACATGGGGAGAGTTGACTGGAAGATCTAGCGTTACAAGATTCCTTTTCTTCACAGAGATCTCTTAGCAGTCACCACTGACTGATACTGCATAACAGCTGGCATCAGGGGCCACTGCTTTCCCCTTTTATTTTCAACCTGAACTTAGTTACCAATTCTTTTCTCAATCCCCTGTAGCACAGCTAAGAAACCTTTAATGCTTAAACAAGTACGACTTTACTAAAGGCTCAGGAGAGCAATAAGAACAATCATCATAGAAAGTAACATGCACTTAACTGATCTGGCTATTAAATATAGCCGGTGTTCTGCATATGCCCCACTCTATAACCTCTGGAATCCCCTGTAGGGATATGTCTCTGCATAGCCTACCAGCCTGCCTAACCCCGGCTTTCTCTCACAATGAGGCATACCTTGTGTAAGGCTAAATACCACAAAGTCTGGACCCCAAAAAGCAAGGCTATGAGAGCCATTCCTTCACCCTCTATTTGTCTGTCTTCCCAGTCCTATTTCACTGTCCTGGGGCCCCCCTCTTTTTGGAATGACAATAAGACCTGTTTAGTACCTTCAGAGGGTACGTATTTCTACCCATAGAAAATAATTATTTCGAATTATTCCTTAAAATTACCTATTGTCCACAGCTCCTGCCAAAAGATCTGGGTGTAGGTAGCCTTCAGAGTTGAACCATGTGATCTTGCCCCCCAGCTCAACTAAGTGGACCAAGAGTAGACACCTAATCCAGGGAATACCAATCCAAAGGATATGGAACCAAATTACATTCTCTCTCTTAGGATTTGGAATTACGACAACAAGAATAAGTCATTCAAATGTTGTCAACCCTGGACTGGACTAGCCATCTGGTCCAAGTTAATGCTGGTGAGTATGTGGAGAAAGCCATTCTACAGAGAAAAGCAGAGAAATGGAACAAATGGCAAGAAAAATAGGCAGAATGGACTGTGGTTCCCTGAGAGATGAAAGCTAAAGTCTATTGGTTGTTTTGGTCCTCATGTGTTAATACGTTATTTCCTAATTGAGATTATCTGTATAGATGTACAATAAAGCTATCTTTATGGAAACCAGGTTAAATGGGTGTCTGATTTTTTTTTTTTTTTTTTTGCCTTGTTTCTGTAGCCAATGTATTCTGACTAAAGCCTTGAGTTTATAGGATCGATTCAACAGGAGCATGTTTTATTTATACTCTCTGATTCCGTTCTAGGAAAGACTTGCTATCACTTTGTTGAACTGATACCTGAAATGTTCAGTTTTTCAGTTTTTTGAAAAAGAAATCTGTGGATCTTAAATTTTAAGCATATTTCTTTCCCTATGTGTCAACTCAGGATAGAATGTTTCTTGATTTTTATAAGGTATATA